CTGTGTCCTGAGGGGCTCTGAGAGTCTGTGCCTCCCTCTTCCACCACTCACTTCCCAAAGGCAAAGCATTCCAGTGTGACCTGCTGCCCCACCAGCGCATAGGTCTCTGCTGGGAACCGGGCCTTGATGCTGGGTGCAAAGAGCCGGGTATCTGGGGAGAAAGAGGTTTTGCAAATCAAAGGCAAATAACTCCAAGTCAGGTGCTGCTTTGCTTGGGGTCTCTCAGAAGACTCTCCCTTTGGTGCTTGGGTCAAGAGTCTTAGGGAGGCCTTGTAGCAGGAGGACCCAGGGGTCCAGGCCATGAACCCTGTGCCCTGCAAGCTGATCTTCACAATCTTCAAGGGAAAAGCCCTTTTTCCCCATGCTAGGTGACCTTTCTAGCTCCTCCTCCCCACCATGCCCAGCTAATCCTGACCTTCAGCAGCCAAGTTGAGCTGAGCAAACTTGCTGAAGACACTCTTGGTGGAGAAGTCCATGTGGCTGGTGGCCAAGCAGGAGTAGTTGCCTAAGTCCGAGGCATTGGTCCGGGCAATGTACAGGTTCCCTGTGGTCTGGGACACGAAGTGACGCCCATCCGTTGGGATGAAGTTAGGGAACTCGTTGAGGAGCCAGCGGTAGGACAAGCCTAGGAGGTGGGGAGTTTTAGGAAACCAGGGGGTGCTGGGCTAACAGGATGACTCCAGGTGGGAGCCCAGCACACTGGTGGGAATCTGCAGACCCTGACTCAAGAGCCCCCTGTGCGCTGAGCCAGGGCTGAAGGTCTAGAGGGAAGACATGACTTTGTCTCTGCCCTCAGGGACCTTCCAGTTTGAAGGGCGAAGCAGGGCACAGAGCTAGAAAATGACAGACCATGAAAGAAACACAGATTGTTTCAAGTTGGGGCCCCAGGGACTGGTGCCTCCACGGGTCACTCACCACCTTTTATTCCATCCTTCCTCTGCTAAGCATCTAGAAGCCTTCCTGAGCCCTCTGCCTGACCCTGGCCCAGGGTCCCAACTCACCTGGATAGTGGGCAGGTGGGTTACAGGGCAGCATCACCCCCCAGCCTTCATGGGTTTTCACTGGATCTCGCTCCTCCTTGGAGAATTCCTGTAGAACTAGAAGTGGAGACCAGCGGGGCTCAGGCACTGTCCTCCTGGCCTGGGAGTCCCTCCCCAACTAATCCTTCTTGGGGAAACAGCAGTTCACCAGGGCAGGACGTGTGAGGTCAGGAGAGCCTGGAGTGGAGGTGTCACCTGTCCTTTCTGGGTATGTTCTTCCAGTCCCCCTTCCCATCCCCCAGAGTGTCTTGGCCCCTGTGGGTCTCACAGCCAAAGCGGAGGATGGCCTCTCTGCTGACGACAGTGCCCACTGGGTTGGAGGCCAGGCACTGGTAGACACCGGCATCCTGTGCCTTGGTGGGGTTCATGATGACCAGGTTGCCCCCCACCAGCTGGTGACGGGAACCTGGCTCCAGCTTCATCTCAGTACCATTCATCTTCCACCTGTGGCAAGGGACAGAGGAGAGAAATCTCTGAGTCCCACTGGGGCCAGGGCTGATGGGAGGAGGGACTCCACAGCTGCCGAGGACCCCCAATCTCCCTCGTAGGGGCCTCACCGGTACGTTGCTGGAGGGCTGGCCCGGGCACGGCATGCCAGCAGCACCTGCTCCTCTGTGGACTCCTCTGGGAACAATAGACTGAGGGGTTGATCTTCAAAGACAGGCCCAAAGGTGGTGGGGGATCCTCGTACTGAACTCCAGGCTGCAGAAGAGGGACACCAGCAAAGCCCTTAGGGGCTGGGGCCTGGCAGGAGCCTAGCCTCCAGGGCCTCGCTGTCCAGTAAACTTTCTGTGATGATGGGAATGTCCCATTTTCTGCAATGTTCAGTACTGTAGCCACTAGCCATGTGTGAAAGGCAGCTAGAGTGGCTGAAGAACCATGTTTTACATTATTTTAATTAATTTAAATCTGGATTTAAATAAGCTGGATAGGTCCTATCTGGTCATGTTAGTTTAGTTGACACCCATACTGATTACCTCCTATATACTTGGCCCTGGGTTAGAGACTGGCTTGCACAAATGATTCAGACACAGTCCCTTTTCTTCAACGAGCTTGGATTCCCAGGAGAGGACAGAAAACTGACAGTGCAAGGTGGCAAATGGCATAGTAGTGGTTTATGTTCAAGATGCTGGGGTCCTCAGAATGGAAGCTGTTGTCACTGCCCCAGGCTCTCAGGTGGGCCTCAGAAAAGAAATGATCTGCAGGATGGGAGATGCCTAAAAAGACGCAGGCTAACAAGGTCCAGAGAAGATGTGCTTCCCTGGAGTCTAACGTACCTTCTGGGGCAGTGTGGCCCAACAAAAAGAACCCAGGCCTGGTGACCAGGCTGGGCCTCCAACCAGCTGTGTGACCTTCTTTTCTTTTTTTTAGACAGAGTCTTACTCTGTTGCCCAGACTAGAGTGCCATGGCATTAGCCTAACTCACAGCAACCTCAACTCCTGGGTTCAAGCGATCTTCCTCCCTCAGCCTCCTGAATAGCTGGGGCTACAAGGGCATACCACAGTGCTCAGCTAATTTTTCCTATTTTTAGTAGAGATGGGGTCTTTTGCTTGCTGAGGCTGGTCTTGAACTCCTAAGCTTAAGCAATCCTCCTGCCTCAGCCTCCCGGAGTGCTAGGATTACAGGCATGAGTCACTATACCCGGCCTGAGCCTCAGTGTCTTCATCTGTGAAGTGGAAAGAAGACAAATTCACCTCCCAGGCAAGAATCCAGCCAAGAAAACACTGGTAAGGTGGTGGGTACAAGGAGTAGCTCTGCGAATATCTGTTGGACACAAGTGTGGGCTGGGTGGGGACTGGCAGAAGAGGGCAGGTCATATAGCGGGCAGGCTGCTCTGGTGGCAGTTTTATAAAATCCCAGAAATGCCCAGAAAGGGAATGGCTTGCTTACGGGCACATGGCAAGTCTGTGGCACAGTCTAGACCTGGATTTGCTGAACAAATGGCTATCACACATGCAGATGGAGCTTTCCTGCACAGCCTTGTCCTGGGCAGATGCCTCTCTCTCCATGAGTGTTGTTCTGCCTCACCAGGGCAGTGGCAGGGGACACAAAGGTGTAGGTGGCTGGTGCTTCACACCTGCCTTGCTTTTGCTTTTTTTGGAGACACAGTCTCACGTTCTTGCCCCCAGTAGAGTGCTATGGCATCACAGATCACAGCAACCTCAAAGCAACCTCAAAGTCTTGGGCTTAAGTGATTCCCTTGCCTCAGCCTCCCAAGTAGCTGGGACTACAGGC